TAGTGGTTTCTTTGCTTGAGATGGAAACAGAGTTGTGTTAATAGACAGTATGCAAAAACTCTTTAGTTCGTCATTAGCGAGGGGGAAAGTATAAGTTAGTACTTCCATTTGATTAATAATTATGCTGGTACCAGTTACTTGTTTCTGTCTAACAAGTGATTTATTTTCTAAATTGTGGAACAAGTATAGTGAATTGAATAGAAGCAACCACCTATGATATTGTGAGATTTCTGTTCATTGTACTGGCTGCCAACATTCTCACTGTCTCATGGAAGCTGTATATTTGTAACTTCAGATGAACTTGGCTTTAGCTTGAGCCTTAATGAGGTCTGAATTGTTTGGTGCCTCAAAGAGGAGTAGTTTGTGCATGTTTTTCTGATCTCGTGTTTTAACTGTTACAGCCCATCCATTTGATTCAGGTGTGCTCCAGAGTCCTTTACCACCAGATAGATAGAATATGTCCTTATTTCCCCATGAAGGGCAAAATGCTTTTGCTTTTCCATTTTGTTAGATATTGGTTCTCAAGCTTGTTTACAGGCCTCTCATGGCACATCTGAGTACTGTGTAAAGCTGGACATTTGTTGAGTCCTGGGTGAGAAATTTGTCTTGTTAACAACTTTGAAATCGCCTGTAGTAAAGTAGATTAAACTGTAATAGAAACCTCTAAAATACTTCATAGTTGCCTGGTTTTCTAAATATATAAAAATAAAGTTTGTGTAGAGAGAGAACTATGCTTGTTTATTTTTCACTGTGTCCTGCATTGCAAGATGTCTATCCTCTCTGTCACTGTTGTGTCTTAAAATCTGAAATGTGTCCTACACACAGGTTTGAATTGATTAATTTACTCTGTTCACGGGAAAGCAAACGAGTTTTTTTTAATATACTTGTGTTTTTTTTGGTGAGATATCCAGGAATTCCATTACACTTAATTTTTCACTAAAACTTTATCACTTCTAACTTCCTTAGAGAAGGAATTTTAAATATGTTGTCCAGGCTTTCATTTGAGTTCTCATGATTGAATAATTCTATGCTTTAATTCTAATACGGCGAAGGTGACTGGTCATCGAGTAATTTCTAAGATTTTTGATCTTACGCATTGATTTAATCTCTGAAAGTTCTGGTGTGGGACCTAACCCTCGTGAATTTCTTTGTATTTTGATTTTGCCTTTGTCTTTACTAGATGCTCTCACCTAAAGCATATCTTTCACTGAGACCTTGTACTTCAAAGTAAATAAGAAATGTATATATTAAAATTTGATCTATGTAAAGGCATAGTATTACTTAGTATTACTTAAAAATAGTATTCCGATCAAACTCTTTTTAAATAGGGAAATAAAAGAAATAACACCTGGTTGTAGCACTCCAATTAGCATGTCTAGAAGTAAGAGTGGATTTAGGTTGAAAAGTTAATTGCAGAAAATAACAGAAAGTAATCCTGAGAATTCTCTAGTGTGAACTGGAGTATTTAGGTACAAGGTTTTGAGAATGGATTTTTATTAGCCATCTTTAATGACTATCTTATTTTGAAGACTGGAAAAAAAAGAAGAGGAGATGTTTCCTTATTGCTATGCAGTTAAAGGTGCTTAGTCACAGAAACAATGAAAATAAGTATGCCTGTCCTGTAAGGCATGGTAAGGAGGCTTAGGAGATCATGCTTCCAGTTCCTCTAACTTTTAACATATATTAACTGTTTTTGAGGGGAGTCATAGGCCTTCTGAAAACCAGGGGCTAGACAGAAGAGTGGGACCTCACTAATGTCCTTGAGGCATCAAGAGAGGAGGCAGCCAGAGCACATCTTGGTTTAAATATGAAAGAAGACATAGCAAAGGTCCTAAATGCCTCATCTGAATAGGAATCTCCTTTGGAGCTTGCAGCAGACTGCAGTGGAAAGGCTAAGGACAGGAAATAATCTTTTTGGAAAAGCAAATACTCTTGAATTGTAGAGTGCTTTTCAGGGTCTAGCTTAACATGTAATGACATTTGATTGAAGTTGCCATTGTCTCATCTCTCTATAGATTTTGTGGCTTATAAAATTGCTTCTGTTCCCTTCTTATACTCTTAGGATTTGCAGAACAAATGGCTGTCGTCTGAAATGACAAAAACTGTATCCAGTATTGTGTAGATGGTGTACGTTAGTTACATACAATCTTTTCCAGTTTCCATCCAACACAACGAACGGCATAAAGTTGTTCCTGTTTTCTAGTTCGTTACCTTATGGTCTTTCAGAGCGATGATTTTTCTGAACCATGATGATTTTTAATACATAGTGCTAATATACTTATCTGATTTAAAGTCAGTTCTTCCCCCTCTTATAAATTATGGAATACCAGGTTGGAAAGGACCTCAAGGATCACCTAGTCCAGCCTTTCTTGGTAAAAGCATAGTCCAGACAAGATGGCCCAGCAACCTGTCCAGCTGAATCTTAAGTGTCCAATGTTGGGGAATCCAACGCTTCTCTGGGGAATTTATTCCAATGGCTGGTTGTTCTCATTTTGAAAAATTTTCCTCTTGTGTCCAATCAGAATCTCCCCAAGAGTTACTTGTACCCATTATCCTTCATCTTTTCCAAGTGACTCCTTGTAAAATGGGAGTCTCCGTGTTCTTTGTAGCCACCCTTTAAATACTGGAATGTGGTGATAAGGTCTCCCCTAAGCCCTGTTTTCTCAAGGCTGAACTAACCCACTTCTCTCAACCTTTCCTCATACGGCAGGCTTCCCAGTCCTTTGATCATCTTTGTGGCCCTTCTCTGGGCCCTCTCCAGCCTGACCACATCTTTTTTTTTGCATAGTGGGGACCAAAACTGAACGCAGTGCTCAAGGTGTGGTCTGACCAGCACTGAGTAGAGCAGGATAATGACTTCTTTATCCCTGTTGGTGATGCCCTTGTTGATGCAGCTTGGCATCCTGTTGACTTGCTTTCCTGCTGCAGCACACTGTTAACTCCTCTAGAGCTTGTTGTCCACTAGGACCCCCAGGTTGCTTTCCACAGAGCTTTTTCTCCAGCCAGATAGGTCTCAGTCTGTGCTGCACTCCTAGATGATATTTTTCGATGTGCAGGACCTTACATTTGTCCTTGTTGAACTTCGTAAGGTTCTCATTAGCCCACTCTTCCAACCTATCCAGGTCTTCCTGCAGGGTGACTCTCCCTTCTGAAGTGTCCACTTCCCACTCAGTTTGGTATATTCAGCAAACTTCATCACGGTATTCTTGATCCCATCACCCAGATCAGTTATGAAGACACTGAACAGTGTTGGGCCCAATATCGATCCCTGGGGGACCCCACTTGTGACAAGTTGCCAGATTGCAAAAGTGCTATTTACCACCACTCCCTGGGCGTGGCTTGTCATCCAGTTCCCCACCTACCAGAGACACCACTTATATAGACCTTAACACATCATTTTCACTAGGAGGAGGCTGTGGGGAACCATATGAAAAGCCTTGGAGAAATCCAGGTACATGATGTCCACCGCTCACCAACCTCTACCCATGTATTACTTTTTCCTTCTGTGGAAGATCATCTCCTTGTTTAGAAGGTTGATAGTGACAGATTGTAGTTCCTTTGTATTCGACCTACTCATCTTTGTCTTGGTCCTTTGGTGTATAACTGGCATGTGTTGTCCAGCTAAAGGTGCTATGCATGTCAGCAAGAAACATCTTCAAAGTTAACATAGTCCAGAGGACACTGTTGTCTTAATGCACTCACAATCTGTGTCAGATTTTTGTTTTGTTGAGGTGAGGACAAACAATGTGGAAGTATATTGTGAACACTTATGTAGTTCTGTTACGTGTATTAATACTGGAATGTATATAAGTCAAAATCATTAACTTAAATGTAGGCAAGTCATTTTGTCATCAGGCAGACTTAGCATCATTTTTTGAAAATGAACAGTAAGAATTTGAATAGAGTAAACCAGAAACTTCATAAAAAGTGTGACTTTTTGAAAGAGACAATTAGAAGATTACAGTAGTTGGAGAAGTTCCTGATATAATTAAAACCAAATACATAGAAATCCTCTTTTAGGTCAGGCACTTTTCCTATTGCCTTTACACTTGTGACATGTTTGTCAGATTCTCTTCAACAGACCGTTCCTAAGGAGCTTTAGGAACTGCGTGTTAATCGTAACCACTGTTCTGAGATAAGTCTACTTTTGTGCAGCTTGTCAGAGCTGTACAAAACATTAGTTGCACCCTTTGGTACAATGTTTTGTATATTGTTCATGGTTTTTGAATATTACAGCTCTAAAAACTGATTATCAGGTATTTTAACACTGAAATACCTTGTAGGTAGTTATTCTTCTGTAATGGCACTTCAGCAAGCAGATGAGCTCTTTGTCAAATCTTCCATATGGTTCTTTTGTAGCAAACAAGATCCTCTAGAGATCTCTGTGGCCAAACACGGAATTGTGGTGCAGCAAGAAATCAGCGAGTCATGCGGTTGCATGATTTTAAAACTACTGATTTAACAGTTGGTGGATACCAGCTCCTTTTCAAGGAGGCTTATGTTCTTCCTTTTTTTTGGAGAAGAGAGAATTAATTTGAGAGTCAGGATATGTCCATACTGGGTAATGCACAGCTTTTTTGAAACGGATGACAGGTACAGTGGGAATGATCAGACAAGCTTCGTAAGAACTGTGGGGGTTTCTGTGTCTCTCTGTTTATGGTTGTTTCTAATATTGTGTTGTGAAATAGATGTTAAATGAGAGCGTGTAGCAGTGAACCATGTTGTTAATACAGCTGAATGATGGAATTAACTTTTTATATCCAAGACGCAGTACATGCACTTTACTTTAAAAAGTGAAGAAGATTCCAGAAAAATACTTACCTTTGTGATGCAAAACCTAAACACATATGAGAAATCAAAGTCAAGTCAGGGGTCCTTGAAGTTTTACAGGGAAAATGGTAATTTTAAAATTCACACAGAAATATTAGCCTGTACGTGTTATCGTCTAAACTGTATTGTGGTTAATGTAACATTAAGCAGCATTCTGTCTTCTGTGATAGGGTGGACTGAAAAACAGCAAGCATGAATGCACGCTGTCCTCGCAAGAATATATTCATGAATTGCGGTCTGGAATTTCAGAGGAAAAGCTTCTTAATTGTCTAGAATCTTTGAGAGTGTCTCTAACTAGTAACCCAGTCAGGTAAGTAGTAGTTTCTGCCGTAGCTTTCATCATGCTGTTTTTGCTAAGCAATAAAGAGTTGTGGAGTGAGTTTTTTTAATTTTTTTTTTTTTTAAAAAAAACCCAGAGTAATTATGTTAAAGTTTATTAGCATGGGAAAGTAGTTCTCAGCACACTAGAAAAGAATAAGTGAAATGTTTGCAATTGTCTGCATTATCTTCTCACCTTTCACAGGGGTTCTCAACAATTTCTAGTTGTTGGAACAAAGCATTTGTCTTAATGGTTGATCACATCTTCCTGGGAAGTGAGATTTAAAGCAGCATCTATGAAGAGATGTACAAGCAGTATTGGAGACATAACTTTGCAAGTTTTAAATTTGATTAAGAAGTAATTAAAAGCATTTTTCTTTCCTTTTCCAGCTGGGTTAACAATTTTGGACATGAAGGTCTTGGACTTTTGTTGGATGTATTGGAAAAGCTTCTGGACAAGAAACAGTAAGGACTCGGATCATTTGAAGGGACGGGTGGGAGAGCTTGTCAAGGTTGTTTGTACTTACATTATTTTCCTTCTCCCTTGCAAGACAAGAAAGTATTGATAAGAAGAATCAACATAAACTTATCCAGTGCCTCAAAGCATTTATGAATAATAAAGTAAGAAATATTTTAATTTCAAATACTTGTAGTATGATTAGTTTTTGTTGACTTTGAGATCTAAGTAGCATGTTGAATCTCAGAAAAGGAAGGAAAGCTTGTATATTCGGTGTCAATTGGCTCTTTGGAAATGTACGTCTTAAACTTAGCGTAACTTTTTGTTTGGAGTCTTGTTCGTAAACCTTTCTGAATATGCATTTTGTCCTAGTTTTCTTAAATATTGTTGATTTTTGGAAGTATTTTATCTGGCAAACAGTGGATGATAGTATGGGTTTAAGGTAAGTGAACTCAGGAGTTAACTGCTTGTGAACTTGAAAATATTTCTTTCTAAATTCAGGTTTCAATACATGATTATTTGTGTTAATATAATGTACTGCTCACCCTATTTTAAATTGTGTATGATTGAATATCTTTTTAGCTACAGTTTTTAAGTTGGTAGGTAGTGATTAAAGGATAAAACTTAGGTCTAGTTTGTTGTACCTAACTTGTTTCTAATATGGGTTACTCATGTTCACAAAGTGTGAGTACTGTTTATAGAAGTTGATGTGTTAAACTTGTAATTTTGTTTCATTGATAGCAAAATCCAAAGTGTTGTTACAATGATTTATTCCTCCCCCCCTGCTATTCCTACACTTATAGGGTAACTTCATACAATTAGATATCTGATTTACCAACTGTCCTGTAGTTAAGGAAAAGAAAAAAAAAAAAGTTACTCTTAAATGCCAATGCGTAAGTTTTTTTTATTTATCTGTACAGAAGATGAAATAGAATATACATAAATAAAAGATAGTTGTTTCAGAAAAGATTTTAAACCTCTATCAGTCATTGTGTGGAAAATATTATTTCGGCTTGTCAGGAGCTGTTAGAGCTACAGTGGGGGAAAAAAAATGACAAAATTTTCATACTGTTGAGGTGTTTCAGATACAGATGGAAAATAGAAACTGATTTGTCTTTTGGTGGATACCTGATTTTGCAAAGTACGGTATTTTTCTTAGGAGTTGACTCTCTCTCTTAAGAGGAAGTCTTAAATGTAAGACCAGGAAGACCGACTTGTGTCCCCAAGTGGTAATAACCAGAAGGTTTTAGAGTGTTGCCAAACTTCATATGGGAGGGGAGCGGGTGTGAGGATTCCTAAGGATCTGAAGCCCAAAGATGATGATGAGTATTCGAGGCAAATACAGTCTTTTCACTGTAAGCTTTTTGTTTCTTTAAGTACGGATTGCAAAGGATTCTAGGAGATGAAAGAAGTCTCTTGCTGTTATCAAGAGCAATTGATCCAAAGCAACCACACATGATGACTGAAACAGTGAAAATACTTTCAGCTATCTGCATTGTTGGAGAGGAAAATATGTAAGTAAGATGTTGAAACAACTTTTTTTTTGGAATGCTCATGAATTGCTGGTTTGGACACAGGTGAGAACTTGTCAGTGAAACAAATGTAACCTTTTAAGTCTTTTCTTTCCTATTATAGTTTAGATGAAAAGAGACTTTGACCTATTCTGATCCATTAATCCTATATGAGATCAAACAAAAGCAAATGAGCAGGGGTCTTCAAACTGTGGCTTAAGTGATAGGTCTGAAAAGACTACAATTGCTTACTTAAAGAAGACTCAATGAGCCATAACTGCTCATAAATGACTGCTGAAAAAAATACGTGTGTATTCATGTATCCCTGATGAGCATGATCAGGAGTTGTGAGCTTTTAAATTGCCACAAGGAAAGCTGTCAGATTTAAAGACACTTTAGAACAGTGTATGTTAGCATGGGGCACTACTGAGCCTATTATTGTGGGGAAAATTGAGATTGGGATATCTCCCCTGAGGAGGGGACATGAAATTATAATATTTGAAAATTACTGATTTGACACCACATGTTAAGATCTTTCATTAGTTTAGTAGGTAATAGTATATAATAAATATATGTATGGATTTTATTAAACTATAACCTCTCTAACTAAAGATAACAAATTTGACAGGGGCAAAAAGTTTACATTTATAGTTGAAGTTTTGGGTGGTTCAAGTGGTGGAGCTATGTAGCAAGTGTCTATGAGCCTTTTAAAACAAGCGTAATCAGTTTGCATAAGTTTGCTTTGAATTATTGAGTGTCTTAAGTTTACTGAAGGTTAAAAATGGCAAGCTCCGTGTCTCCTATGCAATAAATAGATAAAAATATTTTGATTTCTGAAAGACAATTTATTAGAATTTTGAAGTGTCAAACATGCCAGCTGGTACCTAGTGCACAGTCTTGCAAAAGTAGTGATTTCCGCCCCCCCCCTTCATTGGTTGTTTCTTCGCTGAATGTCACAATAGTTTAGAGATTTATTCAGCTTGTTTTAATTCAACGTTAATCTTGTAGATATTTTAACACTTGTTGCTTGGTTTGTGTTCAACTTTATATAGATTAGTGTAGATAAGTCTTTAATGCACTAATTTCTGAAGGTATTTGAGTTGTGTGAATGAATAAAGTTGGCTGTGGTATGCTTTTTGACAGTTTATCTTTCTCTTAGTCTGGACAAGCTTTTAGGTGCTATAACAACTGCTGCTGAAAGGCACAATAGGGAACGTTTTTCTCAGATTGTTGAAGGACTGGAAAACCATGAATTCTTACAGCTGCAGGTGGGTCTACTTTTTCTTATGCTTACTAATACTTCAGAAATAAAAGTAAAATACTAGAAGATTGTGCATTATTTTATGATCTTTTAATTATTTACCAATAAAATCTTTTAGGGCTATTACTCCAGTGTTCAGTAAAAGAGGAAAAATAAATAGAAATGGCCTGCTGATACTAGATTTTCTGATTGTTAACAAAGAAACTCACTTTCTTGTCCCAAAAATCGAGTTAAAAAGTCTTGATCTTAGTGATATTCCTTTTCTTGGATGCCAGGTGTAATGCTTAGGTAATAAATCTGTGAAAGCATTGTATTACCTTAGTTACTGCTTAATCTTCTTGACCAGGAATTTTGTGTGGTTTAATGGACCAATACAAATCCAGCTTTCAGTCTGTCCTCTGAAATGTTTTTGTTACTGTTATTGGAGCTCTGAGGAAGTTGGAGTTTAAGGAGTTGGAGGCAGTGCTCTCTGTGTATCTCTTGGATTTAGGGAAGAAGTACTCCTAAGTTGCATTGCTTGTTTGAACACCCCCTTTCCACCCAGTCTTGCCCCACCCAGAGTAAACAAAACTTCCTATACTTCTGGCTTTGAGCTGATTCCATCAAAGTAATACATTTGTAAAAAGACAGAGCAAGGTTGTGTTGTGCTCTTGAAGTGAATATTTGAGTTTAATTTGGAATCTGAATGCCTTAACTGAGCACACACTTATCTTACTGTTTGGACTACCTGTAGCAGAAACTTACTTCCAGTATTGTTCACCTTTTTTGTAGTATTACTGAATGAAGAAATAGATTAGCATAGTTCTTCCTTAAAAGAAAACATATTTTGAAGGGGATTTTTTGTACTGAAATTTTCTAGGAACTGCAGTTGAAAGTTTTATTTGGCTATGAAAGGTTTTGGTAACTTGTTGTTATTCTCTCTGATAATGACAACTTAGGTTAAATCCTAGCCTATCTCTGGTAAACTGAACGGGTGACCCTTCTTTAAAAAATTAATGGCATAAGGACAGTGATAATTCATTAATCATTTAGTAATATGAGAACTAAATTGAGTGGGAGTAAAACTGCTAGTTTTAGATATTTAAGGCTCAATGTCACCCAACATAACCATCTTTTTAACAGCCATCCTCTACCATTAAACAGAAATAAGCCGCAGTCAACGCTGATCAGTGTCAGGTATATTTTTTTAAAGCTTTCACCTTCGGTTTACTGGCTTTACAGTCAGCTGAAGATAGACACCTGAATAGCCCAGGAGTTTTGGTTGCTATTAGAATGCAAGCCTTTATATTTGCTTTTTTTTGGTAACTGCAAGTGTTAGCGTAGACTTACAAGTGGCTGAATATCCTGCTAAAGGATTACTTTGACTTATTTCCTTCTCATAATACAGTATTTATACAAATTTTGTGATGCTAAAATTTGTACTTCAGCTATCATGGCTGAAAGACAGAGAAAAATAGAATGCAAGCAGGGCAGGTATACCTGCATGGAAGGGATACCTTTTTTCCATTATTAGATCATGTATATGTCAGCTTAAGTTGTTTTAAGATTATGTTTACCGCCAGTATTTCTTGTTTCAGAGCTGAGCAGTTAATGATGTTCAATAAGTTTCTATAAATGACATTCTAATCTTAATATGGCTGTTACAACAGAATTAGTGTTGGAAGTTGTCTCCTACTTTATGACCTTGTTGATTTAAAACAAACAAAACTAACCACACAAGATTCCCATTCCACTCCCAGCCACCCCCTCCCCTCCCCATGTCAGTAAAGGTACAATTGCAAGACTCATTAACTTGTTTCTGACAAAATAGTTCTTTACTTGTAATGTATTAGCACAAGCCATTAAGTTAGAGTCTCTTCTGGCAAAGGCAATCATAGCAGATGGCACCTCTTCTCTCTGTTAATTTCAGATTGGACATGTACTTTGGCTTGTTAAGTCATGTCATACTAGTAAAATAACAAAATCATTCCAGTGAGCATGATGATACTACACTGTCTGAAGGTGCAGCTATATAAAGGGAGTGCTTTTGAAAGAGTGCTTTATAGATATTTAAGACTCCATAAGGTGTTCTGTTAAAACTAGATAATGAATGTAATGAAAACAGGAAGGGTGCTTTTATCTGACTTTTTTCTCTGCAGCTATTGATTTTTATTCATTTTTTTCGACTCTAATGCTATTTCTATTCGCAGTTAACATCTTTTACCCAACTTGTTTTTCCCTGGAGTCCCATTTTAGTCTTTTAATGTGGATCAGCACTTTTGGCATTATGCTATTGTCTACCTGTTTTAAAGTAAATCAATTAAAGTGTACAGCTGTTCAGTTAAAGCATTAGCCACTATCCCGAGACTTCAGGCATTTTGCAAAAGTGCTGTGCAGGAGTAAAGACACCTGGTGTTGTGAATTATTTTGTGTATGCCTGTTCGTGGTGTGGGGTTTTTTTTTTTAATTGTGTGGTGGGTTTTTTTTTAGTTTTTGATTACTGTAAGAACAGGCTGTTTTGAAATTGGCGACTACTGAGGAGAAAGAAAATGAGTTGGAGTGTGGAACTGTAGTGTGGGAATAACTTTCTGAAATGAAGTATGATCCTTTATGTGACGTGACAGAAACACTCAAGATATGAAAACAGAGGAATATTTGATGTTGCTTAAATTAACCAAAGACAAGTGTTGCATGTTTGCCGCATAATTGATAGTATCTATCTCTTGACCTTTGGTTTTATAATTAAAATGAAATAGCCAAATACAGTCTTTATTTTCACTCTATACGTACTAAAGTTTTTGCCTGTATTTCAAATAACAGGTAGCCTGTATGCAGCTCATCAATGCCCTTGTTACATCTCCAGAAGATCTTGATTTCAGGATACACTTGAGAAATGAGTTTTTACGTTGTGGCCTGAAGAAAATACTGCCTGTAAGTCATTTGTATATAGGAATTGATCACGAGTCAACTGTTTGTGCTTGTTGAAGATAACCAAATTGTTTTACTGAGCGTAGCAGATGTGAAAGATTTTGGGGTGGGGAAGGTCAGACCTGGTAAGGACTATCAATCCAAATCTGCTTTCAGTCTGCATAGTTGCAAGTTTAGGTTTTCATTAGCTATGTAAACTAAAATGGTAGTTGAAACAAGTCAGTATATTATGAATTAAATTAGGGTAGTCAAATTTAGTGTAATGAGCTCAAAGCACATGCAGTGAATGCGAGTCTGGCGGTGGAACCAATTTTGTATTAACTTTCTTTGTATATGCCGTTCCTGTTGTTTTCTGTGAAATCTTATTTTTCTTTAATCTGCATTCTGAAAATGCATTTGGAGTTTTTAAGAAAAAAAAATTAACTCCTTCATTCTCTTCAAGACTGCATGTCTTCATGCAGCTGCCCAGAAGTATGCCTTTATGGGTAGTTGTGTGTGAATATTTGTGACTTAAGGGTAGATTTATAGCTCTTAACCAAGAAACCATTCCAATGCTTACATCAAGAATTTGTGTAATTAAGCTACTCGGCAGTTTCTCACAAAAGATGAGGGAAAGGGTACCTGCTTACATTTGTCTGAAACAGAATTTGTACTCTTACAGTTTCTCAGATGTGAAGTTTTGAATCATCAACATTTGTTAGGAATAAAAGCCTTCAGTTTTCAGCTTTTACTGATGTGTGTAGGTTAATTTTTCTTAGGGTATATATTTAGGTTTTATGTCATGTAGATACATTAGTGTGTGTCTTTTCTTGAGGCTTCCAGTTGTTCTACAGTACTGTTAGGTTTTTTAATCTACTGGAAGTTAGTTTACACGATCGATAAATGATTAAACCTTAAGAACTGAGGGTTAGTTAGTTGCCAATAAAATGAATTGTAATAAATAATGATAAACTTTTTGGAGCGTACTGATGTACAGCTGTATGAGTTTAAAAGCAATTAATATTTAGTGATAACTATCTTTTCAAAAATGCTATTGTGTTAAAATTCTGTCTCTAGTAAGGTTAATTAATATTTCATGTAAACTGTAATATCAACTAAAATAGTCAATGCTATCTTGCTCTGTTTATTTGTAAGGTATTAATTACAACATACACATTGAGCTCAGATGACTAATTCTGCAGGGAGTGAATGTCCGAGGTAGAGAAGGTTTTTTTGCATTAGAAGGCAACTTTGTTAATGATAAAGCATCTTAGGAAGAGTTCATGCACATATCTCTGCTTAGGGGTAAATTTTCAATAAATTGATAAATGCTAGTTTCTTGAACAAAAAAAAAATTGTGTTTCTTAGAAGAAAAACCAAATTTTTCCCTGCTCCAAGTAGTAATTCTTGTTTTGTTTTTTTACTTCTCTAGTATTTCTCATTGTACTATGGTTGTTTTTATGCTACGATCTAGGTTAACTTAAAAGAAATTGTAAGCAGATCTTCTTTACACTTCTGTAGCCTTAAGTTCACTTTCATTAATGTTTTGAAATATCCTTATGCTATTTTTTTTTAAAGAACCATTGACATTGACATTAACAAGCATAAACTGGTAACTGTGACCCATTACGAGAATTCAACTCAGTTAAAGGCTTCATGTTTGTTGTGCAGCCCATACCTGCTCTATTTGCTGATATTTTGCCTTAATTTTTCTCAGCTATGCAATGGTAATAAACTGAGATACAGCTTACTCCTGTTCTAGAGGTTAATGACTTACATTTTGTCAATACAATGTTCGAAGTGAGGGAATTCTTGCTTTTGAAAATGGAAAATTAAGATATACTATTCCTTGAAAAATAGGGCTTGAAAGATAAGGATAATGAAGAGCTTGATATTCAGCTGAAAGTGTTTGATGAGAACAAAGAAGAAGACTTAATTGAACTGTCACATCGTCTCAATGATATCAGAGCTGAAATGGAATATCCTTTATAGAAATGGTATTATAACTTTATTGAACCTAAGTTAGAATGCTCTGCATGCAGTTTATTTATCATGGTTGTGTATCTTGTCAAGGACTTTCTCAAGCAGATTTCTTTCAGCTTGTCTTTTGGTAAAAACTTACTTAGAAAATTAGTACTTAAAATCGCTTATCATATGTAAGTCATTGAGAACTGAATTCATTTTTCATAAATAACATTCATGAAGCTAAAGTCAGGCTTGTAATACGTGAAGATATAAAATTGCACTCATAGAAGATTATAAATTGGAAGAAAAATGGCTTTTGATAAATAAGTTGGGCAATGTTTCTAGTAGGTTCTGAAGCACTTAACTAGAGAAGGCATAATACATCTTGTGAAGAAGCAGTACATTTAAAGTTACGTAATTTCAGAATGGTTACATGCAGTTTTTAAGAGTAGTGCCTGGTACTTGAGGAGCAGTGGAGGATAGATGCAAGCAATGAGAGGAATATAAAATCACTAACAAGTAATATTGTTGCATTACAGAACAGGTAATGATGGGTAATTTTCTTCTTCAAGAACAATATGAACAACATCCAGGCAACTGGGCATGGGGTGGGTGTTTTCTTACGTTGTGGGTTTGGTTTTGGGTTGGTTTGTTTGGGTGTGGGATATGGTGGTGGGTTTTTTGTTTGTGGGGTGGGTTTTTTTTTTCAAGTCCTTATATTTCCTTAACAATGTTTGCACTGATGTGAATGAAGTATTTCATCTACTGTATAATATGTTGAAAGATACTTCTTCTGAAAATTACTTCTTGTCAATTCTCCAACATTTCCTTCTCATCAGGAGTGATTACTATGTCAGGTAAATGTCGGCTGTCAGGTTTGATTTTTTTTTTTTTTTTTTGGAGGGGGTGGGGAGAAGAATAGAAATCAAGACTCTGGTAAACTGAGTAGCTCATAGTCATGTATGAGTAGTTGCTCTGTAACTGATGTGTTATTTTCTTTCTGCTCAATGTTAATTTTGAAAAGCTGTTAAATATAACAATGCTTATTTCAAAGGTTTGAACCTTATTCTAACACCCTTATCCCAAAATCTCCTAACTCATTGAGCACTTTTAATCAAGTTTGATAGCTTCATGACTTCAAAGAACTTGGAAGTTAGTTCTGTAACTAATAATTGAAAATACTTCCGCAGTGCCTTGTATCTTGTCTTTTCAGTGTAAGCTTCTTATGTGCATCTCATAGTGTCTTAGAGGGTCAAAGTACACCATACAAAAGCTTGTTTTAAGAAGTAATATTTTTGTTGTAAAGGGATGATAAAAACAGTTGATGTGCAAGATGATAAAATAAAGAAGTAAAATACAACCTGAGAAATCTTTGCTTTTTAGATTTTTAGTTTTTTTTTTTTTTTTAATTTGAAAGTTTGGAATATCATGAATTTAGATTTGAGGGTTTTCTACTTTGAGAGCTCAACGATATGTGAAGCTGATGTGCAATATGTTGCTCCAGTAAGAAATAACAATTTTGAGCACAGAATCCCCTAATCTTAGAGGTTCCTGGTGGTGTTGTGTAGAGATGTGTATCATGTAATTAAGTTAATAATTAACTCATTTTCTAAGTAATTGAATACTGTTACTGTTGCCAGTGATGGAATTCTTTCAGCGGATATTGAAAATAATAAAGGCATTGTCTGTTTTATTGATTATTGACTGGCAAAGGATAAATGTAAAGTGCAGAATATTTTTTGGAGTCTAGAACTTCTTCAGATATCCTTCTGAGAAACTGACAACAGTGCTTTATTAAGCAGAGTACAAAGAAGTCCTTTACTTTGATCCTTTTACCAGCAATTATGTAATTCATATATCAGGAGTTAGTTGCCCCTTTTTTCCCCACCTTCATGTTGCATAAATGATTGTTCATGTTCTTACTATCTTGTAAAATGTGTTCTTTGTTAGACCTCAGTATTACAAGATAATAGAAGAATGCGTATCACAGATAGTATTGCACTGCAGTGGTATGGACCCGGATTTTAAATGTAGAGGAAGAATGGATGTGGATTTTACTCATCTTGTTGGTTTGTATACTATAAGCAATTTTACTTTGTTTTACTGAAGTGCACATTTTTCTGTGTATTTTGTCTAGACTTAACTGTGTGAAATTTTTCAGTTTTCTGGGAGTAGGTGTACTTACGGAGAAAGCCAGAACAAACTCTGCAGCCGTTAATAGAATGACACTGATGAAGTTTGCTTCTTGACTTATAACTGAATATATGATAATCTTAATAATAAAAAATTCCTTCTTCATAAATTCTGTGAGTTTCAGGTCAGTTAAAAATAGCAAAATTTACGTTAGCGTTAATAGTTAGTGGATTTATAATTGTTATATGTTTCCTTCTAAGAATATTTTCAGTAATATTTTCCAAATATATGAGGTTAGTTTAAAGTAAACTACTCAGTATGTATGATTTAAGTGGCAGTTAGCATCATATAGAAGTGTTGTTTTATGCTTTTAAGATTGTATTCTTTAAATGCAAGGGCATCTCTGGAGTAAATATTTAATGGGGGAAAGTAATTGTGCTTGGAGAACACATTTGGGAAAACTTCTTTTTGGTGATGAGACAGAAGGAGCAAAGAAAGGGCGTTGTACAGGTTGACTTTGGGGTGTGTGTGGGGGTGGAAATGGCTTTCTGAAAGGTATACTGCATATCTAAGAAGAATTTCTGATTATCTGTTCACTTATGAGTCTAGGAATGGGATCATGTGATCTTACTTTACCTTGCCTTCTGTTGCCCTTGACCTCCTACTACTAGGGATAACTGGTTTGTCTCCCCATGCCAATTCTTACCTACGATATATGATTACTGGCTTTTTCCCCACTTATAAAATGGTTAGAGTTTTTCACTGCATGTAAAGTCAATAGAAGTGCTTTGTACCATTGTTGAGTGAGGAAATCTGTGCTTCACAGTCTGTCCGAATTCTCCTTGCTCACGCAATAATTTTACTGAAATAAAGAAGTACTTGATTTTTGGATTCCTAATCTGGAAAGGAGGCTTTCTAATTTGAAATCTCAGAAGTAACTATTACTTCATACTAGTGTAAAAATCCTTTTTTAATCTCTTGTTTAGTAGTAATTTATATGAAAAAGAAGGGCATGCAAACTCAGATCTGTCAGAGATCTTCCTTGGTCATGTGTCCTCACCACTTTTTCTATATTTACAGATTTTTGCTCATCAAAATAATTCACTAAATGTTTGGTCAGAGCAACCTAGTAATACATTGTATTTTTTGACAGTTGCTTTTGTGTCATGGGGTCATAGAGTAATTATGATTAGAAGGCACCTCAGAGCTGTGATACGTTTTACTTGACTTCCATGTGCTGTTTTATTTATATTCTAGATGCATGTGTGGACAAAGCTAAAGTAGAAGAGAGTGAAAAGAAAGCAGCAGAGTTTTCCAGAAAGGTAAGTCCTAATCATCACTTTTTACAGTATGGAACAGAAGCCTGGCAGGCTTATTTCACAGTAGAAACTTAGTGGAAACTGGGAAATAGTGTATGTTACGGGCAGGATGTTCTTTTACATCTAGTAGCTCTCTGAGTTTTAGGGTTTTTTGTGCATGTACAAGGCTCAGATTCCAGGCTACTCTGATTTCAAAAGCAGTTGAATAGTGTTAGCTGTACATATCTTCAGTTGTATTCCTCTGTCATAGATAAGAGATGGGAAAAATTCCACTTGTTGCTATTTTGTCCTGAAATACTTAGTCATAGTTAAATACTTGAAGTGTAGGTATATGCTTAAAAAGAAATAAAAATTGGAGGGAAAATATTCATAAGTCTTTATCTAGCTTTTCTTTTAGAACCCGAAGAAACTTATTGAAAAGCGGTGTCATTCAGTGTTTGAAAAAGCAATGACTCTTTAGGCAAAGAGATGCTAACATTAAAATACTGCTTTATTTCTTTATAATGCCCATGGTAAATTATTATCTTACGAAGAAGAGCAATTTATTTCCTTATTATTCATGTTTAGGAATCTTATAGTGCATTTTGGAATGTGTTTTGCTAACAGATTTATTCTTCTGGTCCAGTTCTCTTTTATTAGGAACTTCATAACTAAGCCCTTTATGGGTGATGGGCAATTTTCGTTTATTAGTAGATACAGGAGAGGTTAGACATTTAAAATTATTTCTATAGGAAGAATTCCAGATCAGTGTATTTCTTGTAATACATTTTTTGGGGGGTCTTTCTGAAGTGATGTTTACCCTTGTGCTTTATCGCTGTTGGAGTTTGTGCTGAAAGTATCTTGCTACAACATGTTTTCTCAAGTTAATGAAATTTCTGTTTCCTAGATTATCTTAATAGGTAATTTGTTAATCTCAGCTCATCATATCCTGCCTAAGGATATGAAATGCTGAATGTACTGTGTTAGCTGCAACAGCACTAAAGTTCATATAACATGTTGTGTATTAGAAGCATTCAAAATTTGGTATTTGGTCTGGTCTAAGGATTCTTTTTAGGCCAAAAGGCAGGCATGTTCTTGAACATGATGATTATGAATTTCAAACAAGTTGAATAAAGTCATTAGCTTTTCTCTCTTCAATGTTAAGTGTGGATGCATTTTTAATAGGAGATATGGTGTCTGAGCTTTATAGAAAGCAAATTTTGTGATACTTTCCTGGCAGAGTTATTTATCATAATGTACTTTGTTAGTGGCAGTCAGCATATGTTCTTTCTAGTGACAAGTTGCTTTGTCCTGTGGAAGAATGCATTACAGAAGCTTTTAAAGATGCTAATAATCTCTCAAGCCTAGCAAACAGTAGCAGGATGAAAATTTACACCAAATTTCTCACAATCATGGTGTAATCTGGACTTCTATTTTATATGGGGACATCAGGACTGAAGGGATCACTGACTTATTTGGATATCTTCTTTCTTATGTTACTTTATGGATGATACTACTGAAGCTGCACACGCCTTCCTTCAGATTTAAGGTTGCTGCATGAGATGTGTACTTGAGTTTAGCTTAAGAAGTCTGCAATATTCTGTTGGGAGGGGAGGAAACCTTTTGAACTTAGAGCTGTACTAAGTAGCTAGATCTGAGTGGATCTGTGTCATGACTTATGGAAGAAATTATGTGGTAGGAGAACACCTACTGGAAAAATAGTTTATTTTTAAAAAGCTAAAAGTACATCTATTGCTGTAGTTGTGATACTGTTCGAAGAATTCCTGAAAGTATAGTATGTAGTGTAGACATAAATGGACAAACATTTCTGTGTTGCTTAATCCTTGCAGTTTGATGAAGAGTTCACAGCTCGACAGGAGGCACAAGCGGAGCTTCAGAAACGAGAAGAGAAAATCAAAGAACTTGAAACAGAAATCAAACAGCTACGAACCCAGGTAATAAAACTAAATCATAGTAAGTTACACAGTAGTTGAATTTTAATTATAATTTTTATTTTTTTTTTTAGGAATTGAAAAGAGATTATGTAGGAGCATTGTGTCTGTGGAGTTTGTAATGTATGTTGTAGTTGTATTGATTTGTTTTTAAGCCAGCATAAACTATTAAGTACAGTTAACGGAGCTAACATTTTTTCGAATAGTAGTATATTCAACATCTGTTGAATATCAAATATTGACAGATAGTTGCTTTATTGAGGAAAAAACTACTTTAGGCTATGAAAAGTTTGAATCCAGCCTGAGTTGTTTTCCTCCAAGTACTTCTTTGTGCTTTAACATTACTGTATGTTTTGCAGAAAGTGTTTGTTTCGGATGGCTTTGTACTTGAATTGTGAAGGTGGAAATCATGATGGCTGTGTGTGCACAATATAAATATACTTCAGCATGTGCATGCAAACAGAATATACATACCTGTCAGCATGTGCATGCAACTGATAACAACAGTTTGTTTTGGTTTGGGTTTTTTTTTAACTCTGGATATTGGACTAGGAATTTCTAAAATGAGTATTACAGTAGCTTTATGCAGTCTCATATGTAAATGTAACAAAAAATGGAAGATCTTATGGAGGTAGAAGGTGATACTTCATTTCAGCAAAGTGGATTCCACTTGCATTCATTTCCTCATGAATTTTGCTCAAAAGCACCAAAACTTTATCTCCAAGTGATCTGTCTAGGATGACGGGTGAACCAGAGAGGACGAGATGTGCTGCCTGTTGAGTCCTCACAATATTTCTTGGGTTTCTTTTGTTCGATGACAATGAATTTGGTTTCAGACAGGTCTTATACCCTTTAGGAACCAACAGATACTGTGGTTTGATCTTTTTGCCGGAGCCTGTCTTACTTCCTACTCCTTCAATGCGAGGCACGATCTGCCTGTTGCTGTTTTTCCTCATTGTGGATATCTTAATGCATATAGTCTCACTTCATATTTGGATAGCAAGAGGAAGAATAGCGGGTGATGTGCTGTTACTGGTTGCCATCATCGTGCTTTCAGGATGCTGGTCTTCTGCTGGCAAGTTGGCTGTGCTATAGCCTTTCTGACCACTGGCCTTCTCAGTTTAGCATAAGCACGTTACATTGCATTTAACAGTTGGATTGCTGTTCATTGTGTCCTTTGCTGTTAACACAAGACATAGTTGTAACCTGCGGTGTCTTATGGTTTCCTATTCTGTTTTCACACACCAACACTTCTGTTCACACTTCGTTCTTAAAAACTTTAATATTTGTTACAAATATCTACACGATAATGTTACACTGAAATTTGACAGTCTGTTTTAATGAGTTCCCCAACTGTTGCATTACAACTTGTGTAGTAGTTCATGGCCCAGAGGAACACATGCCCTGTGCAAAGCCAAAAATTTATTTTTAGTCTAATTATTAATGCTGTTACATCGATTCTAACAAAGTTCAGATTATCCAGACATTACAGCTTATTCACAGTAATGGTACAGTTAAAATGATACACACTAACTTTCTAGTACATACACCTTTTCTTTCATGTTATGGTCCCCATAGAATAAACTGTGGCACTTATTTTTAGACTTAGATTTTTCTCTGATTATTTATTTTTTTATGAACTCTTGCTTCCTTTAAACTAGAAACAGTAAATAATTGCCTAGGGAAATACTATGCAAATAAAATTAAATGAACAGCCTATAATAATTTTGTAATTAAAAATTAGTTAATAGTTGAAATAGAATTTGAGCTCATATGGCGGTTTGTGCATAGCTCGTGATACAGTGTTTTAACGGATTGTCTTGATGGACAAAGATCTGTGAGGAATTTATACTAGGCTAGGGCTGTGTTACCACAACAGAAACCTCTCTGGTGGTTTAATTTGCTGCTGTTTCTCTTTATTGTTCCTTTTGCAGCTTATTAGAATGTGTATTGCAATTTTGTTTCTTCCTATCGCTGCAGAAACAACTGCAGACAGACTTAAGAGAAAGCATGTTTGTTTGGGGCTTTTCCCCCCCCACAAACAAGTGGTCAGGATAGTTATGAACTGTGGTCCTGTAACCTGTTGCACTGCAATAGCTGCTGCAGTATTTCTGTGGAAATTTTTCCACCAGCAGAGTCTTAAAATTTAGCGTGGTCATTACCATCTCTGATGCCCTATCTTGCCAGAGTATCCTAAGTGGGATAAATGTTTTGTGCATTGGTAAGAAATAAAATGCTGTTCTGTTCACTGAAATGTTACTGCTACTATTAAATTTTCTTTAAAATGGAAACAATTTGTTTTTATAAAAGTGTTAGGTTGTTCAGTTTACTTGGCAGTTTTATGGTACATGGTATAATCTATTGTTATTGCTTCTTATTTAAATAGGAGAATGGTTGAATTGCTCACTTTCCTGAGGCACAGTTGACTACAGGGCTTCATATTAAACCTCCTCCCCACCCTAATGAAGACAGTTCCTCTCTTGTATTTCAGGGTCCAGGCGTGACAGGTCAACTGACAGAAGTAGCACCATTACCTCCAACCCTACCAGGTGAAAATGCAACACCTCCTCCACCGCCTCCGCTACCTGGTGGAGCAGTGCCGCCGCCTC